AAAAAAATTCTCACAATCATCACATTTTAGCTTAATCAATGAAAATTCCACACTACCTCAATTTCAAAGCCTAATATCTCAAGAAACAGAGATATTAGCGACTTGGTGTTTTAGAACTTTTTGTAGGAAATTGAAAGACCTACAAGTTCAAAATTGCAATTTTTCTGTATCTAGTGTTATTTACGAGATAGGGGCAAAAAAACGTGAATTTCATGAAAATATTGGGTTTAGTGTCCCGTACTACCTCGCTGGTGGGAGTTTGAGTTACGCCGAACTGGACACTTTTGTAGAACGTTCAACTCTGAAGAAAATTCATCATTGACCATGATTATACCATAAAATGCCTTTTTTATATCACTTTAAACACCCTGTCCAACATTTTGGCAGGATATTTACATTTTGGCAGGTTTTTTATGAACTATATTTTATTTATATACAAAAGTGTTGTTAAAGACAAGTTATCTTGTGTTTTAAAGAATTATCTGTTACTTACATTATTAATTTTGCATTGAATAAAAATGTACTGAAAAGTATTGATTTTTTTAGCATGAAAACGTCTAACGTACTGATTTCGTACATAAAAAATCTGGCAACCCTAACGAAACTGCGGCAAATGGAATAGTTCCGTTACCTTTCCCAATAGCTGAAACTGTAAAAAAAAAGCTGCCACACAGTTTGTATTTGGGGAGTGTTTGGAAAACCAATCATAGTATGCTATGGACTGCTTGATTTTGTATGGTTACCTCAAAACAATGATGATAGTAAACCATAACAAGCTCTCCCACTGAATATGGCACTTACATTAATCATCAGCCATACAGGTGCCTGATGTATCTATGACTGCAATCTGAAATAAATTTTTTAATTTTTTAATGAGAAAAGCCTTCAATTTATAGCCTGATTGGGGTTGGATTCTGGACACTGAAAATTATGTGCACTCCTAATTTTGCGATTTAGGAATAGTGTTGTCACTTGAGATTATTTTTAAGAATCAAACTTGAAGGTGAAGCAAAAAAAAATCGGGCCTTTAAATAAAAGATTTATGTAGAAGTATGTATAAAAAATATTTGCAAAATATGTATGTATCTCTGAGATTAATTCAATTCATATCAAATATTTTTTGTTACTTAAGTAGAGATTATTGTTTAACTTCCACAATTCATTTTCAGATCACACATTTAATCTGCACTTAAATGGCCAATATTGGTTATTTAAATATGAGATATGCAACCCTGTGTTTGTACCAAACAACCAAGATTGATAGGTAGGTTGTTTTATCAATCTTGCCAAAGAACAATCAGCTGTTCAGTACAAAATGTAAACAAACAAGCAAATGCAGCAACAATTTCAAGGAGGAAGCAACAGTGCTGCCACTTATTTGGCATATTTAAATAAAGTTGATCTGAAACCCAACGGAAGTTAAATGGCATTTACGCAACAATCCAAAATTAAACTTATGTGCCGTTTAAATATTCATTTGAAATTGGCCCTAATACTATGTTCACGTTAAAATATTAACTCGAGTTTAACGGTTAGAGTTTATGAACATTTGTCAAGTGTAATCATTGGGGTGTTTAAGAAGCTCACGAGTTTAATTTGGCATCTGTTTGTTTACTTTTTCTCATTCACATTTAGCCTGTTCCCGTACTCAAGGATTTAGACAGAAATAGTCCGCAGTAGCCGTGTTGCAGAATACCAACCGTTTGGCCATAAAGAAATAAAAAACGTAGCTAAATAGAACTTTTCATGCTGATTTTAACCATACCAAGATTATTTGGTGCAAATAAAAACTAAAGCCCATAAAAGAGGTTAAAGTTAAACTTTTATATTTTTCTTTTATTTATAATATCTCGGGAACTATTTGACCGATTACAAACTTATTGATGCTAATTTAAAGATAATTTAGGTACGTTTTACGCGACGTATACAATTTTAAATAAACGCCATTTAAAAAAAATATATTTATTTATTTTTTGGTTATTAGGTATTTCTTGCTTAAAACTATAAAGAAAGGAAACAAATTATGCACACCAAGTGAAATACCCCTAATTACCTTTATTTTGACGTCATTTAAAAAAAAAATCAAAACATTTAACTTTAACCATTGATATCTTATTTCTTTTCAACTTTCGCCAAATAAAATCCTGCAGTACGGGAACAGACTAACGGCAAATTGGTTGCAGGTTTGGATTTTCAAAGACACAAACCAAATGCAATGCAATCCGTTTTGATCAACTTTGGTTTGTGTCTTTGCTAATTCAAACCTGCAACCAATTTGCCGACAGTTAGTCTGTTCCCGTACTGCAGGATTTAATCAGATATAGTCCCAGGTCGTTCCGTCCACAGAATATCAGTAATCTAGCTATGCAAAAACAAAAATGTGACTCAATAGAACTTTTTGTGCTAATTTCAACCCTGCAAAAATTATTTGGCTAAAGAAAAAAATAAAGGACATATCAATGGTTAAAGTTAAATTTTAAATTTTTTTTTAAATATTATTATCTTTTGAACAATATGACCTATTAAAAAAACTAATGACGTCAAAATAAAGGTAATTAGGGGATATTTCTCTTGGTGGACATAATTGTTTCCTTTCATTTATATTTTTAAGCCAGAAACACCTAATAATCAAAATATATATATATATTTTTTTTTCTTTTTTTAATGGCGTAAAAGGTATTTAAATTATCTTTAAATTAGCATCAATACGTTTGTGATCGGTCAAATAGTTTCTCGGTTAAACTTGAACCTTTTTTACTGGCTTTAGTTTTTATTTGCGCCAAATAATCTTCATATGGTTGAAACCAGTAT